CATGGGAAAAAAGGTGACCATTTTGTGTTTTATACTGATTTTTGAATTTGTTCTTTATAAAATGTTTAATTTAAAAAAATGACATTTTTCCATTGCTAAATCGCTCAATTTATCGATTAACTCATCCTTGAAGTGACATATGTGGCAACATATGCACGTTCTGTTGGAAAAATTGCAACAGACATGTCATATGTGGCAACATATGTATATCATAAAATGTTCTTTTGGAGGTTAATTCAATTATATTGTCATCTAATTCAACATGTAACACTAATATATAGTCCTACAACATGTCTAAGTACAAAATTATAGTCTAATACAACAACATTCATCAATTATATCAATTTTTTACAAAGACTATCATACCACTAGTTCATCATACAAATAGTTATATAAAGCCCTTGTAAATCATTGTTTCAAGTGTTATATCATATTTTTATTGCTTAATTATGGTTCAAAGTACTAAAATTTGGTCCAATTTGATATTTTTCCATTGCCAAATCACTGAATTATCGATTAACCCATCCTTGAAGTGACATATGTGGCAACATATGCACGTTCTGTTGGAAAAATTGCAACATGCATCATATGTGGCAACATATGTATATCATAAAATGGTCTTTTTGGGGTTAATTCAATTAGATTGTCACATAATTCAACATGTAACACTAATATATAGTCCTACAACATGTCTAAGTACAAAATTATGGTCTAATACAACAATCTTCATCAATTCTATCAATTATTTTTACAATACTATCATACCACTAGTTCATCATACATTACCAAGTAACTCCATATGACAATTTTTTCTGGTAGATAGTGCCATGTAGACTGAAAAGGATAGAAAATTATTTATAAAATAAGTTCGGGGGGGGGGGGGGGGAGGGTAATAAGGACCTTAGTATAGTATTAAGTGTTTCTCTAGGATTTCGGGCATAGGTTGGAGGGGTACATATGCATTTTTCCTTTAATTTTATTGGATAACAAATAATAGTGCAAAGTTAGCGAACCATGTATTAGTATTGATATTGCGTAAAGTTGCTCAAGCATTTTTACTCCTAAGATGTAAATATTCATTACTTTGAAATTGAAAATATTTTTCCTTGTAATTACATAAATTATTTTATATTGAATATTTATAGGGATTTTTTTTACTTTGATAATACAATAAAACTAAATAAAGTATTTTCAACATTTTTCATCTTAGAAAAAAACTAAAACATTTTATCCATGTTTAATTCTAAAATAAAGTACTATTTGTTCATGGAAATATGAATAAATATGAATAAACTTGTATTTTACCCAATCCATTTGTTATCCAACCCATTTTACCCATATGAGATATGAATGGATTGACTTATTACCCATTTTATATTGACCCATTTTCAACCCGCCCAAATTTTACCCAACCCACCCATTTGCCACCACTAACCGTAAGTAACAGAAACTAAGCAGTACACTTTTTTTTCTGTTGGCTGAACTTTCAGAAAAATTTGCCACTCAGGTGCAATACTAATTTATGGAACGATAGATATGTTCAAGTTTTAGCTGAGCCATATTGTCCGGTTATACGAGTAGTGCATCATTATAGAAGTTTAAGTTTTGTCTATGAGAAAAGACATCAAGTCACCATTAAAGTTGTCGTGTATTTGTATAAAAATACCTTAACTTTGGAAGTATCCTATGACCCCACAGAATTATTTAATATTTTTGTAAATGGGCCATTTTGACCCATTCCCTCGTCTATGTTGTCGCGCGTGATGCCCACTCATGTGATAGAATTCAACCTGGCCTGATCCTATTCTTTTTCAAAAAAGTCATCTTCTCCTTTTCTTTTCTTATTTCTCAACTTCCCCTAAAATCTCAAAGAATAGAAAAGTCTTCTCGATATCTTGGTGTTGATAATCTCGTTGTTGATGTTTCTTGGTGAAGATTCTTGGAGGGACAAGGAATTGAAGGTCTAAAAGGTTAGGGCTCTACATCATATGATAAAGATCTTCTTTTTTAGATTATTGTGATTTTAGGGATTATTATAGTGTAAAGAGTGTTGGAATCGACCTATTATAGTTGCCATTGTTAGGATTTTATAGTTTTTCGTTGTGTTATTGATAATTGCTACTGTTAGGGTTTTGTGTTATCAACTTAGTGCAACTGTTAGTGATTAGGATTTTATGTTATCGACTTAGTGCGACTATTAGTGATTGTGTTTTAGGTTAGGGTTTGATGTTATCCATTTAGTTTGAATCTTATTATTCGTCTCTTATACATTTGTAGACTTCAATTTGTACATTATCGACTTGTTTGCAAGTTTTTTGTTCTATTAGTGATGGGGCTAAATGTTAGTGCTATTGCTACTGTTAGTGTTTTTTCTACTCTTGTTAGTTAGTGTTTCTGCTACTGTTATTTGTTAGTGATTATGTTTGTCGTGTACAGCTTGTTAGAGTTTGTTCTTGAAACGTGTGTTTGAATTGTGTTTGTCTTTTTTACATGCCTTTTCAAGATGGCTTTTACTTTGATAACTTTAAGATGGTATCATGGGGGGTTAATAGAATTTGGTCCCCCACCTAAATATATTGGGGGGAATGTGACAGAATTCCTAGATGTAGATGTTGATAGGATGTCTTATTTTGAGTTGAGAGACTACATAAAGGAACTAGGATATACAATAGATTGTGAGTTTTTCATTAAGTGGGATGAGTTATTGGTTCTTGTTGATAATGATAAGGTTATATTTGACCTTTTCAATATGATAAATGATGGGGATACAATTGAGGTGTATGTTTTTCATGGGGTTAGTGAAGCTAATCACGCCCCACTTGAATTGGAGTTTGTCCCTAATATGAGTGATAGTGGGGTAGGTGAGGAATCTTTTAATGAGACTTCTAACCCTAATAATCAGCCTCTTACTTCTACTTTTCCTTCCAACCCTAAAACTAGTCCTTCTGAAACTTCCAGCACTCGATTTGAAGATCCTCCTACTACTGTGCCTCCACTATCTCCTTCTTCTACTGTGTCTCCACCATCTCCTTCTTCCACTGTGCCTCTACCCTCTCCTTCTACTGTGCCTCCTCCTTCCTGTGTACCTTCATCTGATCCTATAATAGATAATGATCCAATTGATGATAAGGTGGAAGATGAATCGGAATGAAGAGGATACTAATGAAGATACTGAGGTTGAAAGTGATGTCCATCAAGAGTATATAGATATAAGGGCAAGCAGGAGGCATTTCAAAAGGTCACAAAGGAGAAGTAGAGGTACTACTTCAGATCAGATTAATGTTGATTAAATGGGTCCAAATATAGGGTATGATGAGACAAATATTGGTATTAGGAAAAGCTTAGTCGGTACGCTAGGAGGTGATGAATCTTACTATCTAAGTGATAAAGCTCCTAGATTTGAAATAGATGATAAAACATGTTGGGGAGATGGTGAAGAGGTTGATCAAGTAGTGCATAAACCTGTTAGAAGGAAGAAAACCCCAAATATAGTGTGTTTGATGAAACTTCTGAAAAGGTTGTTTGGGAATTAGGACAAGTTTTCAGAAGTGTTGATGAATTTAGAGTGACAATGACAAGATATGCAGTTCAAGAACATATTCAAATTGAAAAATATGTGAATGAGCCTAGCAGAGTTAGAGTGAGATGTTGCAAAGAGACTTGTCCTTGGTTGTTATGTGCAAGTAAGGATAAGACTGGTGGAGATTTCATAGTTAAAAGATACAACCCTGTCCATAAATGTCTGACATTAACTCATAACTATCTTTGCAACTTAAAGTTTTTGGCCACCAAATACAAAGAAAGAATAACTCAACAGCCAAACATCAGATATGTGTTGTTGCAGGACATTATTAGAAAAAAGTTGGATATCCATGTTGGTAGGACAATAGTGAGAAGAGCTAGGACTAGAGTGTTACAAGAGATCATGGGTGATCACATTGTGGAGTACGATAAGATCTTTGATTATAAAGATGAGATTTTAAGGAGTAATCCATGTAGTACTTGTGTAGTGAAGGTTGGAGAAAAAGATAGAACTGGGAAGAAATTTTTTCAAGGATTTTATGTTTGCTTCAATGCTTTAAAGAAAGCATTTTTTGAGGTGCTAGAAAGTTGATTGGTTTTGATGGGTGTTTTCTCAAAGGTGTGTGTAAAGGCCAGTTGTTAGTGACAGTTTGTAGGGATGGAAACAACCAAATGCTGCCTATTGCTTGGGCAGTTGTTGAGGTTGAGAATCAGTTTACCTGGACATGATTTCTTGAACTAGTGAGGTATGATCTTGATCTTGGAGTCTATCATTACTAATATGGAAATGGTAAGACCTTTATTGTCTTACTGTTTGATTGTGTTGTTTTTTATGTTTTTAATTTTGCATTTTAATTATGTTTCTATTATGTTGCTTTGTTAGGGACTAGAAATTGTTGTTCAGGAGGTATTGCCACTGGTTGAACACATAAAATGTGCAAGACATGTTATTGCATATTGATGTAAAAGATGTAAAGGAATTGAAAGAAGAAGAGTATTTTGGAGGATTGCTAAATCCACATTTGAAGATGAGTTGAAGGATAATATACAGGCAATGAAGAAATTAGGAAAAGATTGTTTGGATGATCTTTTATGGTACAACTTGGATACATGGTGCAAGAGGTATTTTCAGGACTATAATAAATGTGATGTTATGGACAACAATATGGCAGCAAGCTTTAATGCTTGGATACTGCCTGCAAGGTATGAAACAATCATCACAATGCTTGAGGAGATAAGGGTGAAGATGATGAAAAGAATTGGTGATTTGAGAGAGTTCTCAAACACTTGGATCACTAATATATCTCCTATGTCTTTGAAGATTTTGCAAGAAAATATTGAAAAGTCTATGCAATGTAACTAACTTGGAATGGATAAAGAGGTTTTGAGATTAAACACTATGCATTTGCACATATTGTAGACATTGTTAGTAGGAGTTGTAGTTGTAGATCTTGGAAGCTCAGGGGCATTCCTTGTCCTCATGGTGTTGCTGCCCTTCATTACAAGGAGTTGGAACCAATCAATTATGTGGCTAGTTGTTATAGCAAGGAGACCTACCTCAGCATATATGCCTATTTTATTCAGCCAATGAATAACATGAAAATGTGGCCAACATCAAATAATCCAATTATAAAGCCACCAAAGATCAAGAAGATGCCTGGAAGACCAAGTAAGGTTAGAATAAAGAAAGCAAATGAAAGCAAAAAAATTGAAAAGCTTAGCAAAAGTGGTTCTGTTATGACTTATAGCAAATGTGGTACACAAGGACACAATAAAAGAGGCTGTCCTACAAGAAATCAAGTTGGTCCAAGTCAATTAGCTAGACCATCTTCTCAGGCAAGAGGTACTGGTCCAAGTCAGTCAGCTGAACCATCTTCTCAAACACATACTTTTATTTGTTACTTTCAAATGTAAGTTATATGTACATGTACATGTATTTGTATTGATATATCAATATACATGCTACTAAAAGAGCAGTAGGAGGCAGAGCAAGAGGTAGATCAATAGTTCAACTCAATCACTTGGAGCTTCTTCACATGTGTATATATATTCATTTGTACAAGATTTAGTTGTAATTGCATGCACTGATGTGTGAAAATCAGGCCACCACAAATAATGAACGTGGTAGAGGAAGAGGCACAAAAAGAGTTTCAAGTTCTATAGACAATATAGATATGCTTTAATATTTGAGTTTCAAATTACAGACTTTTAATGGTAGAGGTAGAGGTAGAGGTAGAGGTGAAAGAGTAGGAACATGTAGAGGAAGATGAATGCCTCAAGAAAGAAATGTGAATGAAGGACTGTGTAGACGAAGAGGAATGCCTCAACATAGTCAAACTAGTTCTGAAGCAAGAGGGAATAGACCAGTTGAACATGAGAACACCAGTGGAGGACAAACAAGAGCTTTTAAAAAGGCCAAAAATGGTAGGTGTTGGCATATACCAAGCTGAAGATGGATTTACAACTCTCAATGTAAGTTTACAACTTTCAATGCAAGCCTAAATGTCTTTTGATTTGAATATGTATTTATTTGACTAAGCAACCTGAATTGCCAAGTAGAAGAGCCATAAATACTGGTACAAGAGTGACAAAGAGGGCTGATGTTGTTACTAGTGATATTGGCTACACACCAGTACATGGATTCAAATGGAAGGGGAAGACAACTATTACCAGTACCAACCTAGAAAGAATGAGGGCTGAAAAGGTTATCCAAACTAGGTCTGCAGTTACTGCTACTACTAATAGCCAAAGCCAAACAAGTTCAAGTTGGAAGACTCATGTGCCATGGAAGTAGGGCATTTTGATGTTGTCTTGTTCATTTTGACAAACAAATTTTAACTATGTATATTTTTGTGTTGTTTTTGGTTGGAACCAAACTCAATTTAGCGTGTACAAAACAAGATCAACTTGATAGCAATTCTTCAAATTGAATGATTATGTTGGAATGAAGTCCTCTTTTTGATCAGTGTTTTGTTTCTTTTAGCTATATTCTTCTCATTTATTTGTAGTTGAACATATTTTTGAAGTTTCTCGAATGGTTACCACAATAATATAGACAACCAAATACATTAACAACTTGTTCAAATCATAACTATTTCGACAACAAAGACCAACAAAAACTTGAGCATTCGACAAAGCAAGATCAAGACAATTAGCTTCAAGTTACACACACCTACAACTTCAAAAACTTGAAAGTAACTAAACATGTCTATGGCAATTTGGCTGCACACACCGACAACTTCCATCCTTCACATTCTTGGTTAGGCTTAAAAAAAGAAAACACACAATAATGATCAAGACAATTAGCTTCAAGTTACAACATTTGTTCTTCTTCTTCTCCTTCATCACGACTTGGTTACTTTCAACACGACTTTCATAACGTGCCAATGCTTTTTTAAACTCCTTAATTCTCTTTGCCAATCTTAGAATAACGTATTTGGATCATATATCAACATCTTCACGATCCCTCCATCTAAAGAAGTTGCACGCATCCTCCTAAAATATGTAAAAGCACAAATTAAAGAAAAGTGCATAAACAAAAGATCTCCAGAAAAGAATTAGGAAACATACACGATAGTGTGGACAAGACCAAAATCTTTGAGCTGGATTGTGCTCCGACCATGAAATTTGCATTGAAAGTAAGTCACCATGTTTGCATCGCAATTTCACTCGCGACATCAGATCATTCTCATCATTACAAATACGATTCAACATTGCATTTTCCATTTTCGGTAAAATCTAATCATAAAATTAAGAAGAAATTAAACCATAAAAAACTTCAAATTATTAACGCTTTCTACTGGAAATTAAAAAATAAAACAAATTCCTACCTTATTAGACTTGGGGTAAACAATAAATTCGTCAAAGAGAGAGCACCAGCGTTGAGCTTGCTTTGGAAAAAAAGTTGAAATCGATTTTAGGGCTACCAACGGCTCTTTTCTCTTTAAATTTGGCGAAGATGATGTTATTTAAATTAATTAAATAATTAATAATAAAGAAATAAAATGACACGTGACACTTTATAGTTGGTTAATGGCAGTGAAAACACTGCCTCACGCGCGTAACAACCCAGACGAGGAAATGGGTGAAAATGGCTCATTTACAAAGATATTAAATAGTTTTGTGGGGTGATAAGACACTTCCAAAGTTAAGGTGTCTTTATGCAAATATGAGTAAACTTGTATTTTATTCAGCCCATCCATTTGCAACTAGTAACTGTAAGTAACAGAAACTAAGCAGTACACTTTTTTTCTGTTGGGCTGAACTTTCAGAAAAGTTTGCCACTCAGGTACAATACTAATTTATGTAATGATAGATATGTGCAGGTTTTAGCGCAGCCATATTGTCCGGTTATACACTTAGTGCATCATTATAGATGTTTAAGTTTGTCTATCTAGATTTGTTTGGATCAATTATATATCAAGAATATGAGCGTACATGACTGGATTCGTTTTAGTTTTTTAAATATCAAATCAAATTATTTGTGTCAATTTTTTAAATTTATAAATCAAATCAAACTAATAAAACTCGGGTTTTTCAATCTTGGGTTGGTTCGGATTTTTGAAATATCAAACTAAACTACTTGTGTTAAATTTTTAAAATTTTAAATCAAACCAAACTAATAATTTTTGGATTTTTTTTGGGTTTTTGGATTTTTCGGCAAAGTATTCACACAAACATATAATTAACTTGTGCTCCAAATGTTTCTTTAGTCCAATCAAAATACAACTATCTAAGGCGTTTCTTAAGAAAATAACACAAAATATGATATAAGTGATGACACTAAAATATTCAATAAAAAATAATAAAGAAATCGTATAAAATAAATATCGCAAATTGATAAGTTATAACGAAAATGATCATAATTTAAAAGTACTAAATCATGCTAAAATAAGTCTACTACGTATTAATTACATTAAACATTAAAAAATTAGGATATGTATTTTATATGTCTAAACCAATGTAAAACTAAAGAACAAATATTCAACATTATTGTCATTCTTAGTGTTAAATTAATTTTTTTTGTTAGCATTAGTATGATTTTATTTTTAATTGAACTTTATTAGAGTCACTAATATCTATGAACTATAACCTTCATTGCATTATTCAAAATTCGAAATCTCAAAAGACTTGAAAAAGTATGTTAAAAGAAAAAAATTATGAAAAGTTATAAGTAATATTTAGAAATTACATCAAAGTAAGTAGTTTTATGTATAAAGTAAATTTTAAAAATAAAATATATAATGTCGGGTTGGTTTTGTTCGGGTTGATTTTGTTTAGTTAAAACCAAACCAACCCAAGTATAATTGGGTTTTCTTTTCCAATACCAACCAAGTCAAACAAAACTATTAGTCGAATGTTTTTTTGGAATTGACTCGATTTTCAATTTAGTTCGATTTTTTATTCAGTTTTGTACACATAACTAGTTAAGCTCCTCTTCATCAAATGCTAATAACTAGGTAGTCTCAGATGATTTCATAAGGATCATAAGCAAGCTCTTTATACCATCACAACATATCGTTTCCATTTGTCAGTGTATAGAGTTACTTGATAGCTTTGCTTGTGAGAGACAATGAATACTTGGTGGAATAATCAAGAAGCGTACAACCTAAGTCGAATAACACCTTTATAAAACAAAATGCCTTTATATGTTGAAGAAACATAGTGAAAATGATCAATTTTTATACAAAATATGATGAGAAAACCAGAAAAGGCTGAAGAGGAATAAGAGAAAATAATTGATTACTTTTTGCAAGAAAATATGATGGGAAGATTGGTGAGGATTGAAGAGGAATAAGAGAGGAGAACCCTACAAAGAAGACTAGAGCTCTCTGGCATATTCAAAATATATATCTTATTTTTGGTTTATAGTTTCAAAAGAGATATTGATAAAATAATTCTTCAAAATATCATAATCTTAAGGAGATCAAATCAGTCCAAATATATGTATTTTTTTTTATCATAAAAAGAGTATAAAATTATCTTTACGAAAAAGTTAAAATTGGAAAGGTAGCAATATTATCATTATCTATATTTATCTATCTATCTCTATATATCTATATCTTCTATATATTAATATTAATATTTTATTTAATTTAATTTTTAATTTTAATTTTAATAACTTAAAAGCATAAATTCCTAACTTGAATGTTAAATTACTTTAATATCCCTAACTTAGGTTGTAACTTTTTTGATAAGTTGTGTCTTTATTCAAAGGGTTGGGACTTTTAGATGAGTTATGAATTTTCCAAAGAGTTGTGACTTTTTCAATAAGTTGTGTCTTTTCCAAAGGGTTGTGACGTCTCGGAAATGTCATGACTTTTCAGATAAGACGCAAAAACAATTGTTCATACTACCCTTTGTTGCCTATAAATAGAGGGACTTCCTCTCATTTTTCATCCACAAATTTTTTAATCTTCTACTCTTCTTTTTTCTTGCAATTTAAAAGTTTTTGTGTGATTTATTATCATTGAGTGAGTTTGAAATTTAGCAGAATACGAGGTACCATTATTCTGACGAAGTAAATATTTTATCCTAAGAGGGTATATTCCATAACCTCGAGTACTTGATGAAAATAATTTTGATGATATAATAATTATTTTTTTACTTAATATATACATTAATATGTAATGTTCCAATATATAAAGTTAACATGATGTAGTCTAAATTCATTTATTTTTGTTAACAATTTCTCTTGTGATGTAGATATATGTTTATGAATATCTTTTTTCCAAAATTTAGAGAATTTTCACAATTTGTTTTTTCTCAAGACAAAAGAATGACTTTATTTATCAATGCTACTTATGTCATTTAGATTGTTAGGAAGTTTGCTTCAAAATAGTTATTACTATATAAACATCGCCCTTTTATTCATATGATAACACCAATTGGCGTTTGTCTTAGTTTATTTTTTA